ACAGCATCCACTCTTCCGGGAAGGCTATCCACGAGATTTTGGAGTGTGTCTGTTAGAATTTGTGTCTGTGGCGGCGTGCTTTACACCACTCCTGTATTGCACATAGAGATCTTAGGCTTGTGTGCAGCTACCCAGCCATGGAAACCCATTTCAAGAAGCTCCTGATGTACGGTTCTTGTTAGAAGACAAAACTCTGAGAAAACTAGTGAGTGATAAGACAGAGGATAGGCATTTTTTACACTTAAGCACCTGCTTGGTGGCTCTGAGGCTGAGCTGTTGTTGCTGCTAGATGCTTCCATTTCACAATAATAATGCTCACAGTAGACCGGGCCAAAAATTTCACAGACTGACTTGTGGCAAAGTAGGCATCCTATGGCAGTGCCATGTTTAAAGTCACTGAGCTCTTCAGTACAACCCATTCTACTTCCAATGTTTGTCTAAAGAGACTGCATAGTGCATGATTTTACACACCTTTGTGGCTGAAATACCTGAACTCGATAATTAGGAGGGATGTCCACATACTTTTGGCCACATACTGTATTTTGTATTTTGTCTTCTTATTGAAATGAAGAGAAATCATTAAGTTGATTGAGGTCTGAATTTCAAATTGAAATGTTATTGTTTTAAATATGCAAAGTGTGGAAATGATATGACAGAAATTTTACATTCTGTAAAACTTTGATTACAAATGTACGTAAGATTCACCAGTACTTCATCGTACTTCTATTTTTGAGATTCACCAGCAAGCACTGTTGTACTTTTACAAGTTTTACTCAAACTTTTAGAAAAATTATGTTTTGTTGATTTTCTTGACAAGAAATCTACAGAGAAACCCACATTTGAAGGCACTGTTACTAGAAAAAAATATAACATAAAATGGTCCCTGTGCAAAAGTGAGAACACGTTTCATAGTTTATGTTCATGTTTTTTCAAATGTTATGTTAATGTTATGTTAAATTTACAAAAACATGCCATATTTAAGTGGGTTCCCTGTTCAGGGTGTTTTCATGTATTTAGAAAATCAACAAATTGTGTAATACAAACTATTTCAAAACAATTGCCTTCATTATCAGCAGACAAATGTCCCCAAAATGTTACACACTTTCATGTCCCCAAATGTCCCCATAAAGAACTAAACACACATGCACACACTCACGCAGTCACACAGGACAAAGCTCGCGCTAAGGGAATGAGATACGCACTGCTTACTGCCATAACCGTGTGCTCCACGCATGGTTCCCATGGCGCTTGTCCGTGCAGCCCATTTATGACGGAGAGCTCCGATATTCCCACGTTTATTGCGGTCCGGTTCCTCCTTTTTTGCGTCTGTCTGAGTGTGGAGGCCTGTGCTTTCTGATGGTTCCTACCGTGAAAAGCCGCCGGGTACTGAAGTGAACCGTAAACCTTCCTTATTAAGCTAGTTCAAAAACTTAGCATAGGCTATTCCTTTTTGTCCACATGAAAAACAAACAGTAAAGTGTCCAGCAGTGTCCGTTTTGGTGGCTTCCGCTGCTCTACGGCGTCTGCTGGCTTTAGGTTTGTGGTTTTTGGAGTTAATGTTTGACACTGTGAGACCCTCTCCAGAACCGGCGCGATTGATCTTGTGCTGGAAAAGAGGGTTAGAGTCCATGTGGGGACAGCACAGTGGCCAGAGTCAAAATAAAATTTGGGCTACACTGTTAGAAATAAAGGTACTACGCAGGTACATTTTCAAACAATGTACCCTCAAAGGTACAACAGTGTTTTTTTTTTTTTTTAATTGTGCACCTTAAATGGGTTTTTCCAGTGGAAAAGTATGTATTTGTATCTTTTCATAACCAAATGTTTCAAAACAGGGCAATAAAATAATATAATAATAATAATAATAATAATAATAATAATAATTTTATTTATATAGCACTTTTCATGCCGGTGGCAGCTCAAAGTGCTTTACAGACAGGTGATAAAACAGTTATAGAAAAGATCATTAGTACTTAATTAGAATCAGAAGAAAATGAAGAAGATTAAATTACAAGATAAAAACCACGAGACGTTCAGTTTTAGTTAAATGCTGATTTAAAAAGAGACGTTTTTAGGTGCTTCTTAAAAGTGAGCTCTGAGCTTGACTGTCTAATAAAAGGTGAATTGAGCTCCACAGTTTAGAAGCAGAATAACTGAACGAGTCTCTCCATGTTTTCTGTATTGTACAGAGGGTCTCTGTAGAAGGCCACTATCTGCAGATCTTAGATTGCGTGCCGGAACATAAACAGACAGACACTCTGTGATGTAAGCGGTGCTTTAAGGTTGTTTTGAGCTTCAAAGACTGGTAGCAGAACCTTGAAATCTATCCTGAATGATACGGGCAGCCAGAGCAGCTCTTTTAAAGCAGGACTGATCTGATCTCTCTGTGTTGTTTTTGTTTGGATGCTGATGTGTTTTGTACGAGTTGTAAAGGATGTATTGTTCTCTTAGGAAGTCCAGTAAGAAGATCACTACAGTGATCAACTCTGCTTGTAACAAATGCATGAACAAGTTTCTCTGCGTCGCTCTGAGAGAGAAAAGGCTGAACTTTAGCGACATTTCTTAAATGATAAAAAGCTACTTTAGTGACCGTTTACATGTGGGGTAAAACAGAGCTCAGAGTCTAAGATCACTCAGGTTTCGTACTTCAGGTTTCGTAGATGAAGCTAAAGAACCAAGTTTCTCAAAAATCATTTTTCTCTGAGTTTCTGTACCAACAATCAGTAATTCAGTTTTTTCATGATTTAATTGTAGAAAATTTTGCAACATCCACTGAGAAATATCTGACACACAGCTGGTTAGTCTGTCTACAGAGTCTTGATCTTCAGAAGGAATAGTAATGTATAACTGGGTGTCGTCAGCATAGCTATGAAAATGTATACTATGTTTCCTAATGACATCACCTAGAGGTAGCATGTACAAAGAGAAAAGCAAAGGCCCTAAGACTGAACCTTGGGGGACTCCACAAGAAACGGCAGATCGTTTCGATGAATGATTTCCAAGTGAAACCATGAACTGCCTATTACTTAAATATGATTTAAACCATTCTAAAACTGTGCCTGAGAGGCCGACCCAGCATTCAAGACGCTGGAGTAAAATCTCGTGGTCAACGGTATCAAAGGCTGCTCTGAGATCTAATAAAACCAAAACAGAAGGATTTTGTGCATCAGCGCTGAGCCTGAGGTCATTCATAAGGCGAATCAATGCCGTCTCTGTACTATGGTTAGAACGAAAACCTGACTGAAACTTCTCGTATAAATTAATTGATATTAGATACGTATTTAGTTGTTTGAAAGCAACTTTTTCTAAGATTTTACTTAAAAAAAAAGGTAGGTTTGAAATCGGTCTAAAATGATTTAGTACAGAAGGATCCATGCTACTCTTTTTTAGCTGAGGCTTCACCAGGGCAGTTTTGAAAGCATCTCAAAAACACCTGTTGACAGAGAACAATTTACAATAGGTAAAACATCATTGTGGACACAATCAAAGACCATCTTAAGGAATGAAGTAGGAACAGGTCAAGATCACATGTGGATGAACTTAGTTTGTTTAAAATAGTTGTAGCTCCTGATAGTTGATAACAGAGAAAGATGTCATGACTGATGTAGGTGACCTATCAGGAACATTATAGGAGCTTGTTTGAGTCTGCTGAGCTACACCCTGTCGTATCAGGTCTATTTTATTTTGGAAATGAATTGCGAACTCTTCACAGATATTAGAAGATAAATCATCATTAAACGCGCTAGCAGAGAAGTTAGGGTTAATTAGTTGGTCTATAGTGGAAAAAAGGATTTGGGTATTATTTTTGTGTCTATTGATTACACTAGAGAGATATGACTGTCTGGATATTTTCATAGCATTATTATAGACTGAGATCTGCTCTTTGAGAATATCTTAATAGACCTACAGTTTAGTTTTCCTCCATAAGCGTCTGATTTACGACAATTTCTCCTAAGCTAGCGTATTTCCACATTCATCCATGGATTTTTAAAAGTGCGCAAGCTTTTCTTCCTTTTTGTAGGGGCGAGAAGGTCGAGGCCTTCCCGTAATCCAGCACTTAGATCGGAGACTAGATCATTACAGGATGGAGTCGTATCTGTATTCGCTGAACTATTATAAACAGTTTTAAACTTTTCAATGTAACATGTTTTAAAGTAACTTTCAGGTACTTTCTTCTTTACTTCTAAATTGATTTGAAAGAAAATACAGAAGTGATCGGATAAGAAAACATCCTAAAAACATAATAAAAGCCTGGAGACGAGACGGGGTGTGTGGAGTCAGTACAGCTTAGAAAATATAATTTCAGTGGATTATGGTTCAGTTATGTTCCCTGATTAAAGATACTGAGATGGACCCTTGAGGGTTCCACCCCAGGGACAAGAGGGGCACTGCCCCAGTCACAGTTTCGTACCTTTATTTTGAGATAAATATGGTTGCAATAAATCTTGTGATGTAAATTTATGAATTAAAGTATTTTGCGCTCACTCTCTTTCATTTCTCTCTCTCTCTCTTTCTCTCTTTCTGTCTCACTCTCTCTTATTATTTTTCTCTTCCTCTTTCTTTTATCTCTCTCTCCATCCCTCTCTCTCACTTATTATCGTTTTCTTTCTTTCTCTTTCTTATTATCTTTCTCTCTCTCTCTTTTTCTCTTGCTGTCTTGCTCTCCCTCTCTCTTTGCCTCTCTCTCTCTCTCTGTCTCTCTCTCATTGTCTTTCTCTCTCTCCCTTTTTTGTTCTTTCTCTTTCTCTTATTTGTCTCTCTCTACTTCTCTCTCTCTCTCTCTCTCTCTCTCTCTCTCTCTCTCTCTCTCTCTCTGTCTTATTATCTCTTTCTTTCTCTTTCTACCTTTCTCTATCTCTCTCTTATCTCTCTCTCTTTCTCTTATGGTCTTGCTCTCCCTCTCTCTCTCTCTCTCTCTCTCTCTCTCACTCTCTGTCTCTCTCTCTCTCCCTCCCCCCTCCTTTACCAGACCCTCAAGAGGTCTGCGGTCGTCATGGCAACCTCAAGCTTTGAGAGGCTGTTGAAAGCTTCCTCTGTCGTCGTCTCCGCAGTCGATCCTTCTCTCCGAGCTTCTTCTGCCGACGTTCTGTCCACCTTCTTCTCTTCTTCGTCCGTATGGATCTGTTACAGCGACTGCAGGGAGGCAGAGGAGAAGAGGACGTGGACGTGGACGGACGGAGCGTGTGAGTTTTGCCCGCTGTGGGCTTCTGTCTCTGCTAGCCGCTCTACAGGCCTCACACGAAAGAGGTGGTCAAGCAGCTGCAGGATAGCTGTTACACGTGCACAGTAGTGTTTCTCAGTCTTTTTGTGTTTTCTTTGCTCTAAAACACCCAGCTGTGCTGAAGAGAACAACCTAACTGACACCTGAAATAGCAGCATTACAGGCAATACAGGCTCAAAGGGGAATTACACCAAATTTTCAAAATTTATACATATTTAACTGGTTAAGAAGTGACATCACTCAGAGTGGTCTGATGTGAAATACTGCATTCTTGAGTCACAGTGGTGGTGATAGGAACCAGACATCCTATCATCAAAATAATTCCTCTAAAAGCTCCCTCACAGAAAGATATTACAGGAAACAATTAAGAATGCACTGCTGGATGTCTGAGACATTGTTTTACGATCAATTTTGACCTAAAAAGTATATTTTAAAAGGCAGATTGATACATGGAGGGCATTGTGAGGTAAAATAGCCTTCCATTTTTTTCCATTTACCACTATTTCACCATCATCAACATTAGATATAAAAACTCAGAAGACACATGTAGGTTCACTGGTGGTTTTGGCTAGCACAACCCCAATTCCAAAAAAGTTGGGACGCTGTGTAAAATGTAAATAAAAGTAAATAAAAACATAATGCAGTGATTTGCAAATCTCATAGACCCATATTTTATTCACAATAGCTTTGGCCCAGAGAAGATGGTGGCGTTTCTGGATCGTGTTGACATATGGCTTCTTCTTTGCATGATACAGCTGTAACTTGCATTTGTGGACTGCATGCTGAACTGTGTTCACAGACAGTGGTTTCTGGAAGTGTTCCTGAGCCCATGCAGTGATTTCCAGTACAAAATCATGCTTGTTTTTCAATGCAGTGCCACCTGAAGAGAGCCTGCATATCAAAAACGTCCAATATTGGCCATCGGCCTTGTCCCTTACAGGGATTTCTCCAGATTCTCTGAATCTTTTGATGATATTATGTACTGTAGATGGTGAGATATTCAAAAGTCTTTGCAATTTTACGCTGAGGAACTTTTTTCTAAAATTGTTCCACAATTTTTTGATGCAGTTTTTCGTAGATTGGTGAACCTCTGCCCATCTTTGCTTCTGAGAGACTCTGCCTCTCTATAATACTCTTCTTATACCCAGTCATGTGAGTTAGTTGCAAATTGCTCCTCCAGCTGTTTTTTATTAGTACCACTTGCCCCTGTCCCAACTTTCTTGAGATGTGTTGCTGCCATCAAGTTCTAAATGAGTTAATGTTTTTCATGAAATGGTAAAATGTCTCACGTTCAACATCTGATATGTGTTCTATGTTCCACTGTGAATAAAATATGGGTCTATGAGGTTTGCAAATCCTTGCATTCTGTTTTTATTTACATTTATGTACATTTCACACAGCGTCCCAACTCCACTAGCACTGCTGTGTCTGAATGTCATTTGGCCAGAGTGCCTAAACTTTTGCACACAGTATGAAAACAAGCGTTTCTGTGTGCAGGATTGTGTGTGCGCAGTAATAAACCAATGAGAAGAGGTCAACCTTACCACAATCCCCCAAAAGGAGCCCACCAGTCTGAGGATGAAAAGGAGGAACAGGTAGCAAAAGAAGAAGAAGATGACATCACCTCCTCCTTGTGCCCCCTGTGTGGGCGTGGCTTTGACATGCCCCTCCTCCTGCCCTGCTCACACACATTATGTGGGCGGTGCTTAACAGATGGGGCGAGGATGGACAAACATAGATCTACAGTAAGGGGCGTGTCCTATGCCTCTAGACCAATCTGTGTCGTTCTTTGCCCGCGTTGTTGCCATGGCGTCGAATTGCCCTGCTTTGACTGGTCATCTGCAACTAGATGCTTGCCCATTGACCCTACGGTGACCCTTGATCCTGAGTGTGGTGCAGTGACGTGGGCGGTTCCAGAGGAAGATGAAGGTGAGGATATGATAAAAAGGACAGGAATGCCAGGTACGCATGATTTGATTTATTTTTTCTAATTCTATCAGTTTTTTTTTTTTTAATTTCTGCATATTTAAAGAGTTGCGACGTAAACAAAGTCATTCAGATGCTCAACCACTGAGCTGAGGACCACATGTGGGCCACGAAGCACCCCTTGGGCCTATACCAGGGTTCAGCCCTTTTACTGTCCTGTTGTGGCTCCACAGCAGAATCAGATTTGTAGGTAAAAATAAAATAATCCTCCTTTACAGTAAAATAAAGCTCTGCTGATCGTTCAACACAGTTTAACAATAAATGGTCTTAAACTCTGGAGTTAATGTAGAACTGCTGATTCACCCTTTAACCCTGAAGATCAGCGCAGACTGCTGGTCACCATAGCAACACAGACAACAATCTCGCCTAGCTAGTAGCTAACGAAATGGCAAAGAGAGAGATTTAAGACGAACATCGAGAAAGTGGAGACAAATTGACTTATTTGCATTCATAATCACTCCAGCTGATTTCCTGATACGTTTAATCTGCAATGAGAAACTGCAGTCGTGAAGTCAGCTTCTCGTTCGAATTCCCTCGTTCCACCTTAAATGGCGCAGCGGTACATTCTGGCGCCTCAGGCACCATTTAAGGTGGAACGGGACAATTCAAACAAGAAGCTGGTGAATGAGAAGCGACTTCAGCCTCGTAAAAAGTCGAACGTTAGCACGTACTAAAACATACGTTGTGGCTCCCGAGGTGGTTTCATTTTTGTTGAAAGGACAAAACAGCTCTTCTTAACATTTCGGTTGTGACCCCTGAGCTAAGCCTGCTAGTAAGGGGTGATCAGCGGGTGCCCGTTTGCTGTCCGCGGCTCAGTCAGGATTGCACAGTCACCACCAGCCCAGTTAATGACCGCGTTCCGTGGTTCACATTTTGCACGGACTGTCTGAAGCCTGTAGCAAAATTGTAGCTAAAATTATCGCTATAGCTACACAAAAATTTGTAGGCGCTACAGCTACAAAAAGTAGCGCGCTACTTAGCTACTCCCCCATCCCGTCCCCTAGCCCACTGCTTCTTCAGGCTGATGATTTTTAATCATGCAAAGGGTCCTTTAGGTGTTCGTGGTTCTATATAGAACCATTTTCTTTACTAAAGAACCCTTAAAGCATCATCAGTGTGGCTTCATTCTGGGTTTAATTTAATGCAGTAGTGGTAAAATGCCGTGCTTTGGCTCAGGGCAGCGCTGGACATCAGTAAACGTCAGCGCATGAGCTGCTCTTCATTTCCGATAATGCACTGATAACATAAAACACAGAGAAATGTGATTCATGGGGCCCCAGAACACGAGCATGTATACGAGTGCACAGCCTGCACCTCAGATACAGCTGAAAGATACTGAAGACCACTGAGAGGTAAACCCCAAGGACAGTTTAGCCCCTTTGTTTCTGAGAGTGTAGAAGATTCCGTAATCAATAGTCTGAACTCTGTTTCCTCATTCCTTCCCTCTAGATGTGGATCTTTCTGAGGAAGAGATGGAGCGGTCCGTATCAGGTAAAGAAAAACAAAAGGGGATGACAGAGGGATACCGGTAAAGCCTGATTCCGCCACTTGGGAAAAATAGTCGTGTAGTATGTCATAATCCTGAGAAAGTATTTCATAATAATGACTCGCTATGAGTTTATATCTCAAATGAATAACCATGAGATTATAAGTCATGATTATGGGATGCTGTCATAATTCTGCAATGATATTTAAAATACACTAAGTAACAATTATGAGATACTAAGATATAATTATGAATTAGGACACAGTAAGTCATTGTTATGAAATAATCATTATGATGTAGTAAGTCATAATTATGAGATCATAATGAACAATTATGATGTACATCATAATAATGAGATAATGATTAATAATTGTGATGTACTAAGTCAGAATTAGGAGATATGAAAATTTCTCAAATTATTGAAAAAAATTTCTCATGACTTTCAGATGCTAACTCATGAGATATTATGAGATATTAAGTCATATTTATGAGAAGGTAAGTCATAATTATGAGATGATAACTCATAATTGTAAGATATTAAGTCATACTTATGAGAAAGTAAGTCATAATTATGAGATGATAACTCACAATTATAAGATACTAAATCATAATTATGAGTTTGTATGTCATAGTTTTACATGCTAACTCATAATTATAAGATATTCAGTCACACTTATGAGAAGCTAAGTCGTAATTATGAGATGCTAACTCGTAACTGTAAGACACAATCATAGTTATGAGGTAGTAAGTCATAATTATAACATGCTAACTCATAATTATAAGATCTAAAGTCATAATTATGAGATCACAAATCACAATAATGAGACACTATGTAGTAAATATGAAATAGTAAGTCAAAATTATGATATACTATCTCAGAATTATGAGATAATAGTTATGGGAATGTTTCTCATTTTTGTGACTTGGTAAACGGCTAAATTCTTCTAGTGGTGGAAATGGGCTTCCATAAGATACAGAATTATTAGGAGAGGTGAAAATATGTTCTCAGTGTGGCTTTTGGTTCTACTCACTTTAATCTCTGAACTCCTCAGGTTTAATTTTTGCCTTAGACTCCTCCTCTGCTGCCCCGCCCCTTCATCTCACAAGCTCCGCCCTCACTGCTACCTTCAGAGGAGGCTCTAGTCCAGGGGGTAACTATGGCAACCGGTGCGGGTGTCATGACCCTTGTGCCCCCCTCCCTCAGGTTTGCGGCAATGTTGCCATCCACAGAGGCCAGTACTACTGGGAAGTTGATGTGTGCAACAGCACCCTCTATAGGATTGGTAGGAAAATACTGTATATACATACAGTTATTTTGTACCGTAAATTCCTGGCTACTAGTTACATTAGTTTTACAGTTAATTTACTGAACAATATTAACAGTAAATAACAATAAAGTAGCAGGTGTACACTGTTGACTCCACACTCACCTGAACCGGAAGATAACTGTGATGTAGCTGTACACAATAATATACAATAATAAGCTGTAATTAAAATACAGTAATCTTCTGTATTTTTATACTACAGCTGTGACAGTAATGCAACTCAGTAGCCAGTAATTTACTGTAAATATAAATATGAAAAACTGAGTTTTGAATTTGCATGATCATGAATTTTCATACTTCATGTGTTTTATTGTGCTTTCCAGGTAATATCAAGCAAACTGCAGTTGGGTTGATTTGATTCAGTAAAAATAACGAAATACATGTAACTTACAAAATCAAACTTCATAGATTTTTTTTTAATTTTATTTCAATTTTGGTTTTGACAAAATTAGATAACTCCAATGGTCATTTGATGTTTCAGAATAAAACTAAGCCAATGAATGTTTCTTTTAAAGTTTCTTTTAAGTACAATATTTAACATTCTTTAATATAAAATAAGCGGGTAAAGAGCTGAAAACTGCAACAAAAATGAAATGAAACATCTAAACGATCAGACCTCATAAAATCCTAAGGCTGAATCTCAAACGGCTCAATGCTCCCTATATAATGCACTATGTCCAGTATGAATTGTGAACACATGGCTGAATCCAGAGTGGCTCTTTGCTGGACACACTGTGCTCTGTTTAGATGCAGTAGCCATTATTTCAAGCGTCAACAAAGTTCCACTGTGTCCTGTAAATGTGTTTAAATGCACACAACGGTCATTTTGCCAGGGGAAAGATGCTTATCTGTATCAAAAATAACCATCCAAGAGTGGCTCTGTTTTCAGAAGTTGACCACTGACAAAGGGCTACAGAATGGATAACGCAACCTATGGATCCTACAGTCTCCAACTCAGAGGTCTATAACCCTGATCCTGGAGATCTACCTTCCTGCAGAGTCCAGTTCCAACCACAGTTCACCACACCTGCTCCAGCTAATCAACCTCTTCCCATGCCTCTGATTTGCTGGATCAGATGTATTAGAGTTTAGTAAGGGGCAGGGCACCTTGCTGGATACTGGCTGGTACTGAACTCCACAGGAAGGTAGCTCTCCAGGACTAGGGTTGGAGACCACTGCTCTAACTGAGAACCAGCAAGGTGCTACCAGGGAGGTTTCGGATAAAGTGGCCAGCAATAGAACAGTTCAGCAGGATGTTTGCTGCCACCCAGTGGTTGTGTTTGATACTGCAGCATGCGCTTTACATTGAATGAGGTCATGTTTCAAAGACAATAGTTGGACATCCACACACATGATATATATACACACACATACTTATATATATATATATATATATATATCAGTGATAATGTGTATTCACCATGCTTTGCATTGCATATGCTGTATGCCAAATATACATGATATATAATAATATCTCAAAATGCAAAATATACATGAATTTAGCACATTTGCACAAACATGAGCAAAAACATATATCTGGCAATTAACAATAACACCTCGGTGTTTCCGGCAAGTTTTCATTAAAATGTTTACACCTTTTTAAATGGACATACCTCATAATGCTATGTAGTACAGCTCAACAGCAATTTGCTATGTTACTGCTGTGTTTACTGTGTAAAATTACTGTTTAATATTGTGGAATCCTTGTAGTGATTAATAGTGTATTTATTGTAATTTATTTTATTGCTACTAATTTAACATTTTATTGTTTTTGTTGTGAATGAAGGAAAAACACAGGCTAAATACTTGGAAGCCTGCTAAACATGCTGAAATTGATTAAGAATATTCCATGTTTTATGCTCTTATACAGTTTAGAGTGTGGAATGCTGGGATATGTAGTTTTAGTGACATCTAGAAGTAGGTATGGAGTGCTTTTCATAGAGGGCGTTTTCACACTCTTTTTTCCGGGCTTGCTTTGTGAGTTTGGAACACTTGGTTAAGTGTGAAAGCTGTCTAGAGGCCCAATCTTTGGCCCTTATGAAATTGGTGGTCTGGAGCTTCCAGCAAACTCGGCCTACTTCGGAAGCTATCCACTGCGTGTGGGGTTGCATGATTGGTTCATTTTGTGGCGTGACTGCTTCGACTTATTGCGATACTTCCCTTTTCAAGTTTCGTGAAGGTGGTGAAAGGACTGCTGCGGACAAAAAGTGCTGTTCTTCACCGCTTGAGTGTTTGTGCCCAAGGAAAAATGATAAAAAGTGGTAAACGGATGAAACTACTGCCAACCCTCGTGCGGAAAAGTGACATGGAATTACACAATTAATTCACAATTTGGATGGAATTCATGTGTGTGAAAGAAAACCAGTGATAAGCTCCTCTCCCAAACTAGCCCAGAATCGGTCTTGGGTGTGGACTCAAGTATTCAGGACAAGTGTGAAAATGCCCGAAGTTCCAAACCTGCAAAAGAGTCTCTTAGGGTTAAACCAAGCTTTAACCCTATTGTTATAAGTTCATAAATTGGTATAGTGTAGTGGGTAAAACCTCTGCCTTCTATGCTGTAGACTGGGGTTCAATCCCCAACCTGGGCAAACTGCCTACACTATACCAATAAGAGTCCTTGGGCAAGACTCCTAACACTCCATTCGCCTACCTGTGTAAAGTGATCAAATTGTAAGTCGCTCTGGATAAGAGCGTCTGCCAAATCCCATAAATGTTCTGCTAGGAAGCTTTACTCACTATAACCCCACCCATTCTTTTCACAGGTGTAAGCTCATTGGCTGGCGATCGGGCATGGTGGTTTGAGAGGTGTGGCCCTGCTTTCCATGCCATTTTTGATGGACGGCATGAGCTCCTCCCTTCCGTCCCCCCTCAGCTGAAGACGGTGGGCGTGTTCCTAAACATGGGTGGGTCTTCCCTCACCTTCCACAACCCTTTAACTCAAGAGCTTCTCGCTGCAATCCCCTCCCGCTTCACGCCTCCCCTTTGCCCTGCCGTTCAGCTGGGCCATGGCAGACTGAAGCTCCGCTCAGGCCTTCCTCCTCCAAACCACATCTTCTTGAGCTGCGGCTCGGCCTACCGGGGTCCAGGAGGGGCAGGAGGGGGCCGGTGGAGGCGGGACGTTGCTTTCGGATCTGTGAGAACCGTGATTCAGAAGTTTGAGGAGATGGCGTCGTCAGAATCGGACTCGGGCCTGATGTCAAGTTACAGCTCCAGCTCCACGCTGGCCTCCCTGCCTGAGCCCAACGCAGGCCTAGAGAGAGCACACCCTGCTGGACAAGAACAGTAGACCACTGAGGACAACAACTTGCCCGGATTAGGAATTTTGCAGTTTAGCCTATGGGACATACACAAGCTTTCCCATTGGTTAGGACTTCAGAAGCTGGATTGAAGACCTTACATGTTAAAGTGAACTACTAACATAATCAGGAACTGACAAAGAAATCAACCAATCACTTTTTGGTTTCCAGTGGGTCGGACCAAAAAAGGTCATTATAGTCCTGCTGGGAGGTCTAGATATGTCACTGGCTGTGAATATGAGCCAGAGCCTAACCGAGTTTCCAGGTGGTTGTTAGGAATGGAAAACAGCAGCTGTAGCTTTACGCCGTAACGCTTTAATTAAAGTCACTGTAAAACTGATCAATACAAGCTCAAATATAGGTTAGTCTGCTACAAGCTTCAAATAAAACATATGAAATGTGATTTACAAGCTTGTGTTTCATCTGTGAATCGCCAATAGCTTAGTGCTACACACTACTGAAACACCACAGGGATGCTAGCAGAAATTGGCACTATTTACATGTATGTACCAAACAGTCCCAGTTGACCACTTGTAGTGAATAACAATATGGCTTTGCACGTTGATGTCTGGCATTCAGATTCCCGCATAGGTAATAACATTACTGTAACTCTTTAAGGCTACTTTAAAATTTTCCCTTCAAAAAACATTAAAATGAGGGTTAAACAAACACTTAGCTTGATGCTAATACAGAAATACAACATAGATGCTAATGGAAGTTGCATTATGCTAGTGGAGTTGAACAGGCAAAAGTAGAGCTACTAATGAAGGGAAGTTTTCAATGTTTTCATAAGTTGTGTTTTGGATGCTGGTATTCTGGTTAACCAGCATGACTGTGCTGGGTAACCAGCTAAACCAGCACCAGTTCAGTATAAGCCAGCTTCACTATTTAGGAATATGCAATATGAAGGCAGTTGCGTCATTCTCCAATTGGAGTGGGAATTCAGGTGGATACATTTTTAAAAAATCAATTTCTTTCATCCCCCAAAACTAAATAATCTTAATATGTCTATTAACATCTCCTATTATCACATATGCAAATAGCAGAGCTTAATTCCAAACATATTTTAATACATAGATGTAAAATCCAATGTTTTAGTCAGTTTGTCACTGGTGCTACCCCTGAATGAGGTATTCCGTTTGTGATAAATTAATTTATTTTTTCATTTAAATTTAATGCGACTGTATTTACTGAAGAAATTCAATTTGAATAACCATGTTACCAAAATTCTTTTATAAACGTGCACTAAAAAAAAAAATACAGATGACTTTTATGAATTTTCTCATGCCTTCATATGCAACCCATTAACGAAAAAGTTGAGACGATGTAAATAAAAAACAGAATGCAATGATTTGCAAATCATGTAAACCACATTTTTAAAGGAAAATAGTACAAAGACAACATATCAAATGTTGAAACTGAGAAGTTTTATTGTTTTTTGAAAAATATTTGCCCATTTTGAATTTAATGCCAAAAACACATTCCAAAAAAAGTTGGGACGGGGGCCTGTTTACCACTGTGTTTCAGTGTTTGGGGACTGAGGAGACACTGCTGTAGTTTTGAAAGTGTCCCATTCTTATTTGATATAGTATTTCAGCTGCTCATCAGTTCAGGGTCTCCTTTGTCATATTTTTCATTTCATAACACGCCAAGTGCTTTCAGTGGTGACAGGTCTGGACTGCAGGCTGGCCAGTTTAGCACCTGAACTCTTTCAGTTCGGAGCAATGCTGTTGTAGCACTCAGAATGTGGTTTGACATTGTCTTGCTGAAATAATCAAGAACTTCCCTGAAAAAGACGTTGTCTGGATGGCAGCATATGTTGCCAAAACATGTATATATTGTTCAGCATTAATGGTGCCTTCACAGATGTGCACGTCACCCATGCCATGTGCACTAATGCCCCCTACACCATCATGAATACTGGCTTTTGAACTGTGCACTGATAACAAGTTGAGTGGTCTTTAGCCTGGAGGACACAGTGTCCATGATTTCCAAAAAGAACTTTAAATGTTGATTTGTCGGGCCACAGGACTTTTTTCCACTTCGCCTCAGTCCGTTTTAAATGAGCTCGGGCCCAGAGAAGGTGGCAGCATTTCTGGATCTTGTTTATATGTGCTTTCTTCTTTGTGTTTTAGAGTTTTAACTTGCATTTGTGGATGCAGTGATGAACTGTGTTCACAGACAGTGGTTTTCAGAAGTGTTTCTGAACTCATGCAGTGATTTCCACTAAAGAATCATGTCTGTTTTTAATGCGGTGCTGCCTGAGGGCCTTAAAGATCACGACCAGCGAATACTGATTTTTCCTTTGCATACAGAGATTTCTCCAGAATCTGATTTCTCTGAATCTTTTAATGATATTATGTACCGTAGATGATGAAAAGCAAAGGTTCTTTGCTATATTATGTTGAGAAACGTTATTCTTGAATTGTTGCACTATTTGATGGTGCAGTCTTTCACAGAGTGGTGAACTCCTCCTCATCTTTACTTCTGAAACACTCCGCCTCTCTGAGATGCTCTTTTTTTACCCAATCATGTTGTTGAACTGTTGCCAATCAACAGCCAGGTGTTTTTTAGCTTTACACTACTTTACCAGCCTTTCATTACCCCGTCCCAACTTTTTTTGGAATGTGTTGTTGACATCAAATTCAAAATGAGCATATATTTAAAAAAAAACAATCAAATTTCTCAGTTTCAACATTTGATATGTTGTCTTTGTACTATTTTCAATTAAATATAGGGTCTGAATGTTCTGAGCATTGTTGCATTTTGTTTTTATTCACATTTTTCACAGCGTCCCAACCTTTTTGGAAATGGGGTTGTACTACTTATAAAAACAATGATTATTTAATGAAATTGAAGTAATTTGAAGAAACTGAAGACAATATTTCAGTAAAAGGAACACATTTTTATGACAAACCTGTAAAACCAGTGACAATGTAATGTGATGATTTAATGTTTTAGGAACTGTTCATGCAGAAGTCCACGTTATTCAAGTCCAAGCATTTAGACACTTATTTTATGCAACTGTACATACAGTAAACAAAGAAAAAGTTTAATGCTTGCTTTATGTCTCTTACTTTTTTGAGGCCTAAGTCCAAATGTCCAGTATACTGGACACTGAATATTATATGTTTCCCAGTAAAAAAATGTTGTATTTATTTAGCAGGCAGCAGAGAACATGTACATGTCATAAGAACACCTGATTTGTCCAGTCTCAGGTCTCTTTTGTCGAATAAAGAGTCCTGCTTGAATCTGTACACTGTCTCTCCTGCACTCTGATTGGTCGACCTAGCCAGTGCAGCAAAATGACAAAATAACTAACAGACTGAAATATTGATAAAGTCACTGGTGAAATTCCATTCATCACATTAACATCAGTCACTGGTGTCACAACATGTCAGTGGTGTTATATGAATGGTTCTGGTTAAAACTGGGGATTTAGTAAATCGGCTGACTCAGTGGTGGTCAGGTGACCTTGTGTATTTAAAATCAGCAATAAAATGATATTTGGCGTTATTTTGATAAAGATTTAATTACCCAGCCATTAAAGTACATAACACCTGTGACACATAGAAGTTATGAGCTGACTGATAAAAAAAATGATTAATAAATTAATGAAATATAGTGAGTGAGCGTGACTCGCCTTCCCATGCCTTGAGATGCTTCCTCTCTGATGAGCCTCGACCCAAAGAAGCAGTTTAACAGAGCTGAAAATACTGTGTTCAAATATAAAATAAGAGTCCTGATAACACCAGTGACCACAATTTCTGTGACCAATGATTTTTTTTAAATAAAATACGTATTTGTTTAATAGGGTATAATGTTAATCATGTATATAGTAAACATGAGGCTGTTTTATACAGATTAAACCTCTTAAAAATATTGTTTTATATTAAAATTGGTTGAAAATGTGGTGAGCTGTTTATCAGATGCAGAGCGACTATGAAACAGGATAAAAATCAGAGAGTCATAAGGAAAAGTGCTGTTTAATCTTCACTCAAATGTGTAAATGTACATACTGACTTTTGGAGCTGTGCCTAATATTTTAAGCATCTTTTTAAGCCCTGCAACCTTTGTGACCTGGTTTCCCACTGCAAATGAGAGTTGTGATTTGCTGCAGCCTAAAATGAGTGTAATGCCTAAAAACCTAATAAGAGTGACTGCAATATTGCCTATACAGCACCTCATTTAGATCGGTTACCCTAAAGCACCATTTATCTGAATTGTTTCTCAGTGCCGGTCAAAAGGCAGGCAAATGCGTTTTTGGGGGTTGGGAGGGGGACCACACTGCTTTTGCAGGGAGGGTCCTGAATTTTGCGCTACGCCAGTGAATGAGAGACCTGCGGTTTTATGGGGGCTTCACCCCACACTGCCCTCTGTTGGGTAATTACAGTTTCAGCTCTAATGGAATCAAAGGAATACTTCAGTCGAAAAATGCTAATCCGGCTAACAATGACCACTAGCAGGGACTTATTAGCATGACCATCGTATACACAATGTCCGAAGGAACTTGTCACAGTGGGGGAAAACTTTTAGAGCTTTTTGTTTTCTGTAGAGAACTGGCGCCAGCTGAGCAGCTGCGCTTACATGGTCAAATATAGTGGAGATGTTAATGTTCTGCAAGAACACAAGCATACAAGAGCAGAACTGTCCAACGTTTGTCTTCCCCAGATTAGGGAATAGTGATTAGAGACCACGTCTGTTTCCTATAATAGTGTTCTAGTACTCCAATGTAGGGAACAGTGATTAGGGACCATTTCTGTTCCCTATTATAGTATTCTAACACTACAATGTAGGGAATAGTGATTAGGAACCACATCTGTTCCCTTTAATAGTGTTCTAGTGCTCCAATTTAGGGAATAGTGACTAGGGACCATTTCTGTTCCCTTTAATAGTGTTCTAGTACTCCAATTCACTATAATAGTGTTCTAGTGCTCCAATGTAGGAAATAGTCAATAGTTCTATGCAGTGTTTCTACATTGCCAGTGTA